AAGAATTGGGAGAACTCAGGTTTTCCCCTGCTTTTTATTTGGGGGGGGGGGCGTTAAATTTTAACACTAGGATAACTTACCTTTCCTGTAGATAGATAATTCGGTACCAATGATTTCTTAAATTGCCAATGGGTTTGACTGCTTTTCGTGTTACAGCAATTATTGGTCAGTAATCAATGTAATACTTTCAACAAGATTTAAAAATTTTATATATATATGTGTATATATATATATGCATGCTGAAAATATTCTGTGGCTTCCAATGTATGGGATACAAAACCCTAAATAACCACTGGCTCACACAACACGCCCATACCACTGAACTGCTTTCCTTCTCTGAAAATTGCAAGTCTTATGTCAGTTTCACATTCTCAAGCCACCCCACATTTGCTTACCAGAGTCTCACATTTTCCCTCCACAGGAAGCTGAAACCCCACGTAGTGTTCTTGAAGAGATTGGACTGACATAATTCTCCTCCCTTGTTGATGACTTCTTGTGGCATTTCACACACTGTAGATGGTCACTGCCTTCATGTCCATGTTAGCTAATGGTGTAAGATGTCTTGTCAGTATTACTGTTTCACTAAGCTGCTTCATTCAGGCCTACACAATTTTTTTTAAAGGGAATTTTGGTTAATCAATTGATAACTTAAGGAACTTACATGAATTAGAATGATAGAGAAAAAGAAAGGTACCTGGGTATTTTAAGGTTTATACGTCTGTTTCTCTTAATTGGATATCTTATGAAAATGACAATCAGGTTAAATACATTTATTAATTACTGTCTTTGGCAAAGGAAACTTACGAAGCCAAAAGCCAGTGCACTCCCAGTATATATGAGAATAAAGGGAATTGACATATCACATATCAAATGAATGAAAACTTAACTATGTTGAAACTTTAAAAGAAAAACATCAAATTTATACCAAAGACCCTATTTGGAAACTACATACCTAAAAACAAAGGGAATATACATAGACTAAATTGGAATTATACCGTTTTACACTGAAAATTCTTTGGCATTGCAAACCTGGGATGAAGAAGAGATTGATTGTTTGATAATGGTGAGCATATTATTTTTAAGGCCAACGAACATTTGACTCCTGAGACAAATTTTGTGGCCATAATCATTTAGTCACTTAGTTGGATTTGGATGCCCCAAAATAAAATAGAATGTTGACTTGCCAGGAATTCTTCATGACAGATTCTTCTGGAAAATGTTACTCTCTTCACAAAGTGTTGACTATGTCATTTAAAGCACTAAGGTTCCTTCTGGGGTGCTTGTTGCAGCCAAATTTATTTTGCTCTCCTTTATTGCTTCCTGCTACTTAGAAGTGCTACAAACTTTAGGGAGCTTCCTGCCCTTCAATAGCATTGAGAAATAGTTATGAGAAATCTTATAAAAATATAAGCATACCATCTTTCATATAAAAGTGAGAGCTGAATGAGGTAAAATGGCATTAGTAGGCCCTATATTTTTAAGAGCTATTTCAATGTCACTTTTATACATACTCCATATGTAAACACATCTTCACGGTTTACACTTTAATTTGTATTTGCTGGGCTGGATTAAGCTTTCTTGTGATTGTGACCAATATTCAGGCCATGTGTGCATTGTCTTCATCACATCGCCAATTAGTTGTAATAAATGTTCAATGTACACTATTGTAGTGTGTTTTTATCTATCTCTTCCCAAAAGCTTGTCAAACTATGGAGAGTTGCTGAAGGAAAAATTCTAAGGTCTTTTTTCAGTAACGTTGAAAATTCACCTCCATTTGAATGTGGTGGTTGTTAAAAGCACACACAAGATAAATGGAAGATATAAGGAGTCTTCATATACTTCAAGTTCATTAAAAAATAATGTGGATTCCATGCTACAGAGAGCCTATCTGCACATTTATTTTCAATCAATAAATGCCGCTTTTAAAACCTGATGCACTTGACTTTTCTACTCTTTCGGAATGAGCAACTCCTATTACTCCAGGTAATAAAAAGTATTCCAAAGCAACTGGTTCCCCCCACCCTTGATCCCATGAACTGGAGGTACTAGCACACTCAGAACAAACTAATTTTGCCAACTACTGTGTCATAAGCAGCAAATCAAAGCTTAGTTAAGGGACCTCCTATTAACTACAGGTGGGGAATGTTAGATACTAAAAAGATAAATATTTAAGAATGAGGAAACAAACAAAAAAAGAGACAAACAGTACATGCCTAAGGGGGGGAGGAGGTAGAAATATCTATGGACCAGAAAAAAACAAAACAACTATCATCAAATTAAGTTGCTAGTCTGCTAAAAATAAAATAGTTCTCGATTTAAAGAGCCTCTGTTAGCCTCTAAAGCAGTGGTTCTCAACCTTCCTAATGCTGCGACCCTTTAATACAGTTCCTCATGTTGTGGTGACCCCCAACCATAAAATTATTTTCGTTGCTACTTCATAACTGTAATGTTGCTACTGTTATGAATCGTAATGTAAATATCTGATATGCAGGATGTATTTTCATTGTTACAAATTGAACATAATTAAAGCATAGTGATTAATCACAAAAACAATATGTAATTATATATGTGTTTTCCGATGGTCTTAGGCGACCCCTGTGAAAGGGTCACAGGCCCTTGGGCTGTGAGCAATGTAGAGTTGGAATTTTTGAATTATAAGTGGTAATTAGGTTATAAGTTTAAAAACATTAATATTTAAGATGGACATTTTTCAGGATAATGAACTGGTCTGTGGTTTAAAAACTGTTTCTTCCTGCCCAGCTGGTGTGCTCAGTGGTTGAGCATCGACCCATAAACCAGGAGGTCCAGTCAGGGCATATGCCTGGGTTTCAGGCTCAAGCCCCAGTAAGGAGGGAGAAGCAAGAGGCAGCCAATTGATGATACTCTCATCATTGATGTTTCTATCTCTCTCTTCCTCTCTCTGAAATCAATAAAAACATATAAAAACTGCTTCTTCCCCTCCATATGACGCTGCCCTTTAATACTATAACTCATAACCTTGATTGAGCACAAGCTGGTGTTTAACCTCTATGACATTTTCCCCTCCATGATCCACTAAAGACTGTTCAGCTTTGAATACCACCTTTAATTGTGTATAACTTGGCTGTACTTAGGAAAGTATTAAAAATTTTGAATTCGGTGATAACTATTTGGCATTAGTGAATCCTGTAGATCAAGCACGTCAAACTCAAAGGCTAATATGGGCCAAGTAAATGAGGCATGTGGCCTGCGGGCCGCGAGTTTGACATGCTTTGCTGTAAATAATTACAGAAAATTTATAATTATTTTTATGGTAAAATGTATTTAAAGCCTGAAGCAAATCAATTTTTAAAGTAAAATGTATTCTGGACCACATACTGCCTTTTATAGACTACAGATTAAAGGGCTTTTTCAACAGGTATCACTCAGAAATGCCAATCTTGAAGAAATTTCTATTCCTAATTAACTTCGCTATTTTGTGTATCCTTAAGTCCTTGTTTCCATATACTCTGAAATTCAAGATCCCTAGTATGTCAATGGAAAGGTTACTAAGAAAATTTAAAAATTTATGAGGAAGCGTGAGAGCTTTTATGATCTGAAATCTAAGAACAATATCTTATATTAAACATTTTTTATGGCTTAAAATATTATAAGTAGTACATTTGTCTCCTTTTTTTTCCCTTGACCTTCCCCCAGCCTCCCCTACATTAAGCTTTTAAAATAGACCACTTTTTTTTTTACCAGAATTGCTGTAACACTAGGCATATTCAATAGCAACAACTCCAATTTTCCTGAAAATGACAAAAATTTACCTGTATATAGAGAACTCTCCAATATACTATAAAAAAAGATGAACACCCTAATGGGAAACCTCTAGCTAAGGAGGGACTGCAAATAGGGGATAGGAGGGAGGCAGAAAAAAAAATTGACTACCCTTTAGTACTTTAAAACTGAGAAAGTGAATTTTAAAGTAAAACAAACTGCTCAACTATTGCATGTACAAAAATCCAATAGATTAATAAAGGGCAAACCACCAAATTTAATGGCCATTAAATATAGAAAAAGTGTTTTACTTAGCCAATGTGTACAGAAACAAAGTTAAACACATAAAATTTACCAAGTTGGTGAAAAGTAATGTGGGATGTGGGAATAGCAAAATTTATTATTGATAATTTGTGTAGTTTTTCTGGAGGGCAATTTGGAAATACTTCAGTATTCATATGTCTTGATGTAATTTATCCTAAGGAGATAATCATAAATGTATGAAAGTAAGGATATCTACCACAGGATTTTTTATAGCACAGGGTTCTTTAATAGTGTAAAAGTCAAAATAACTTAAAATCGAACAAGGATATGGTTGAATAAATTAAGAGTTCCGCACTATGCAGTGAGTAAAAATAACATTAAGAATTGGCCTTGAGAAAGTATGACAATATTTTGTGTGACAAAAAGCATATTCAACTGCAGCTATCTATGTTCTTTGTGTAAAAAATGTGCACACACCCATAAGAGGGAAAAAAAAGACTAAAGTAATGCTCCATTGTTAACTGGTTATCTTTAAGGGTTAGGATTACAAGTAATATTTATGTTATTTATACATTTAAATTTTCTAAAAGAAGCATATAAGTTATTAGAAAAAGATTATTTTTTAAAATATATTTTTATTGATTTCAGAAAGGGAGAGGGAGAGATAGAAAGAAACATCAATGATGAGAATCATTGATCCTCTGCCTCCTGCATGCCCCCTACTGGGGATCGAGCCCACAACATGGGCATTTACCCTGACCAGGAATCGATAGGTCAACTCTCAACCACTGAACCACGCCAGCCGTGCTAATATTTTTAAATAGAGTTATAGATGATAGTAGGGTTCTACCAGACTTGTTAATCCACTTAAACTCAGAGCCCTCCACCCAGGTATGGAGCAGCCATAATAAATAACATATGCAATCATTTAAAAACACAATCAGTTTATTTGGATTTGGGACTATGAATAGTTCCGTCTCTACTACCTGACCTTCTCCCACTATAATTTCTGAACTTAGAAGGGCTTGGACTCCGACTCCGGCTCCGGCTCCTGCTTCGGCTCCGGTGGCTCTTGCTCCGGCTGCTCCGGCCCCGACTGCGGTCCCTTTTTCTTTCTCTACTTCGTGAACTGTGTCTTTCTCGACTTTTTGCTGTGTGTCTGTGAGACTTCTTATCCCTGTGGGTACTTCTTCTTTTCCTCTCAGATTCTCCATTTCTTTTATAGAAACGGTTCGGACTGGGGCTTCTTCTCCTCCTGGGCCTGCCATAGTACTCATCATGGTGGCCCATTCTCTCTCTCCTCTCTGAGTTCCTACCAAAGGAAGAGCTAGACCGATCTGGAGACAGGTAGATGTCCCTATTAGCTTCCCAAAATTCATTGTTGGGATTTCTGAACACATGAAGAAAGTTGCAGTGTTTTCCTCTTGGGCATTGCTGCATTTCATATAAACCTGCAATGCAAAGTGAGGAAATAGCATTTCTTGCTGGCACTTTATCCTTTTTAGAAAGTACATTTCTCATGTTGGACATGTCAGAACTATTTTCTTCTTTATATTATTTAGATAATATAAATTGATGTCACAGTTTTGGTTCTCAGAATTTCAAATATATTCAAGTGCTCTAACAAATGGCACTGTGAAAAGTAACAAATCAGAAATCTTAATTAGCCAGGATATCCGGTTTCTCTACTGGATTACTGTGTGGTGTGCAAATGACATAAGTGGTAACTCCAAGTTTTTCTAGGGTTTCACCATCCCACTCACTGACAATGTAGATCCCTAATTAACACTTTAAGAAGAAGATGGTAAACATTGGCCTAATGTTTTTAAATTTACCAAGTATTTTTAATATGGAAGATTCTTGTCAAAGTGAAATCCAGTTGAACAACTCAGAAATCTTTTTGGGGTCTTCAAACTTTTTTTTTTAAAGCAGTAAATTTCCCAAATATGTAAAACAGTTAAAATAGAAATACCTCCATACCACACACTATATACAAAAAGAAAGTTAAAATGGATGAGTCCTAAATGTAAGACACAAAACTATGAAACTTTGAAGCAAACATACAAGTAAAATCTTTGTGACACGTGGCTAAGCAATGGATTGTTAGATATGACAGCAAAAGCACAAGTGAAAAAAAATTAGATAAATGGGTTATCATCAAAATTAAAAACTTTTGTGCTTCAATGGCCACCGTCAAAGTGAAAATACAACCCACATAATGGGAGAACATATTTACAAATCATAGATCTAATAAAGGACTTATCTGTAGAATAAATCATGAACTCTTACAACTCAATAGTAAAAAGACATGTAACCTACATAAAAATAGGCAAAGGATCTGAATACACATCTCTCCAAAGAAAATAGACAAATGGCCAATAACAAGGACATGAAAAAATGCTCAACATCACTAGTTAATGGGAAAAATAACCAAACTGTTATTTTTGAAAAACAAAACACAAGTGAAATAGTCTCCTCCTTTGGGAGAGTCAAAGTCATACTCAGAATTACCTCAGTGAAACCATAGTGGACTGCCAGAACTAACAAACAACTTTATGGAGAAAACGGGTCCACTTCTTTCATCCCCCAAGCCTTTAATCTTAAGGTGTAATGGTTCTTCTCGTTTTCCAAAGCAAGGGATTCCAAAATCTTTCCCCCCTCTTCAATAAGTGGTTTTTAAGTGATAGCATCCATTACGACCAGGTTGCCAAAGATTTAGACTTTGTAAATTGTGTATTTTTAAATAAGAGGTGTTAAGCAGACACGTGTAAAGCAAAGAACAGTAAAGGATCAGGAATGTGCTCCCTTAAGACACAAATAGCTCCATCTCTTTGCTTCCGGTACCTTAGCAATACAGTTTGGATAAGCCCATCCAAGAGAAATAAAAAAGAACAAGGCCATCAAAATTGCTGGCTTCTCAAGGGACTGACTCATTTCCTGATTTGGGGCCACTGTCGATGAGTCAGTCTGACTGAATGTGCCCTCACCACATCCCACAGCTAGAATCAATCTACTGCACAAAAGCATGTATTTCAAGTAAGGCAAGGGATGTTATAGGTAACATTTTAGGTGGCAAAGATGAGCAAAGATTCATTAGGGATAAAGATGGGGAAAACAACACAGCTTAAGTGAGGGGAGCCATCAATAGCAAACACCTCTGAAACCACAATAAGGAAAGGTGGCTTCCAGGGCCACAACTTCTCAGGCTTCCTAAAGTATTAGACACAGGGCCCCAGCACTGAGGACGAGAAGACCCAATTCTAGCCCAACTCTGTCACCAATACACTGTGACTTCAATCATATCATGCACAAAGAGACACACAAGGTCTGTTACAGATCTAAAATGTAATGTCCTTTATATAATGATCTCGGCTCATCTACTGTGTGAGGTAAAAGCTATGCTTCACTTCTCTAAAATATTATTTTTTTCACTAAGAATTTCCTTTTATATAACAGTAGAATAACTGGGGGGAAATCATCATGTTATATTTTACCACAAATTGCCATTTTCCACCGGGTCACTGGGCAGAATTCACACTGAAGCTGTCGTCCTGCATACCATCTTCCGTTAAACAGAGAAAAGGCTGCTTGGCATTCTTCTTCCCTTTTAAACCACAAATTAAAGGACACGCTTTACAGTAATGTTCTAATATGTAGATTAATGCTGTTGTTAACAAACCCTTTTATTCGTTTATTGTAGGACCTCCAAGCTTACTGCTTTTGTACTACTAAGAGAGTACTCATTAGAACATTCCAGCTGCTGAAGCTCACCATTTATTCAGGAACCCTTTTTACCAACTCTCTGAGAGGCTCTGATGCATGGAAACTGGCTTGAGTCAAAGCTTCTTAAACCAAAAGATGGGACCATTAAAAATGCAGAAGTGTTTCCCATTATCAGTGTCAATTATTTCTCAGTTAAGATCACCATTCTTATTACAATGGTTAAATTAACTCATTAGCCACGGTGTGGCCCAGGCAAACAACAAAACAAGCAGAATTGATACACTACTAACTACACAGAGATTACTTGGGGCTTCAATTCCTGGCTCTTTTGATTTATACTTTCCTCTATTCTAGTTATCCCTTTCAGTTTGTATTTTAATTATTAAAATTATATAAGTAAAAAATTACTATATTACAAAAGATTCAAAACTATGTACTTATACAAAGAATGAAATCCAAATGTATTATTTTCAAATCCCTCCTATATTTCTATATCAGCTCTTAATATTTACGTTTTAAAAAAATACCATGCAGCCCTAACTGGTTTGGCTCAGTGGATAGAGCGTTGGCCTGCGGACTCAAGGGGCCCAGGTTCGATTCTGGTCAAGGGCATGTACCTTGGTTGCGGGCACATCCCCAGTAGGGAGTGTGCAGGAGACAGCTGATCGATGTTTCTCTCTCATCGATGTTTCTAACTCTCTATCCCTCTCCCTTCCTCTCTGTAAAAAAATCAATAAAATATATTTTTAAAAATACCATGCATATGAAAGCTATATTATTCCGTGGAAACAATCACAGACACCAACATAGTCACAACACTATACTGTGACAAACTGTGAAGACATTTTATGTTCAGAATACTTACGATTGGTACTGAACATACACATTGCCCCTCAGATGAGGTTCTAAGTTGCAGCTGACCTAAGGAGCAATGAAGAATTCTATCATTAAAAAAAAAACTAAGGAAAAGAAGCCCTTCAGCCATTAAATGCATTTTGTTCAGGCCAACACTATGAAAACTAGTTATTAATAGAAGATTCCAAAATCGAGGTACAACCCCACTCTCACGTCTATTTAAGGGATACTTCAGCACATAGTGGTTTTGCAGGCCCCAATTAGCTGATCCCTGTTCATCCAGATCCTTTCCCCCCATAGATGTGAAATGTTTCACATATGCACAGAAATCGAGAAAAAAAGTCAGCCCATCTACATACCACCCAGATTTAACACTGACATTTTCCTTTTTGACAGAGAATGTTTAAATATGTAAAACATTAAAGACCCAGTTGAATCTCTTCCATCCTTTTCTCCCTCCTCCATCACATACATAGGCGCTATCCTAAGGTTGGGCATATCCTTCACATTCCAACATAAATACACACTTACCCAAATATCCACAGCAACACATATACACACAGAAATGTATGTCCACTATGCATATATGGGCATACACATATTTATGTATACGTATGCAAAGAAACATGTATATATATATTGATGATGTATAGCATTGCTTTGCACATATTAAACTTTTACATAAATAGTATTTATTCCACATCCTTTTTTCAAGATGTAATCCCATAAACTTAAGGACTCATTTTAACTACTGTATACTGAATATATCAAATTAGCAAATCAATTTGTCCACTCCTCGAATGACAGATATCCAAGGTGCTTCCAATTTTTCATCAACAAACAGTGCAGCAGCCAGCATTCTGGAACACATGTCTGTAGGTGGATGGATTTCTCCTGTGTTGCATGACCACAAGTAGCGTGCAGATTTGTAAGTTTACAACTTCACTAGGTACTGACAACTACTGCCCTCTGAAGTGGTTTTACTAATTCACACATCCTTGCCCAGTCTTGGTATTAAGAGAATTTATAATATTTTACCTGATAAGGTGTGAATAATCTGTCATTTTAATATGCACTGTTCCTATTACTAGTTAGGTTGAACATTTGATCATTTGCCTTAGAAAATGACATATCTAATTTGGTTATTTTATTTTAAAAAATATTTTTATTGATTTCAAAGAGGAAGGGAGAGAGAGGGAAGGAGAGAGGGAGGAAGGGAGGGAGGGAAACATCAATGAGAGAGAATCATGGACCGGCTGCCTCCTGCATGCCCTACACTGGGGCTCAAGCCCACAACCCGGGCATGTGGAACCATGACCTCCTGGTTCATAGGTCGATGCTCAACCACTGAGCCACGCCGGCCAGGTGGTTATTTTATTTTATTTGGTTTTATATAATGGTATACAAAGGTCCTCAAATATTCATAGTAATGTTCAGCTTTTATTTTCAAAATAAATGTTTAATTTTACAAATTTGTTCCAGAGTATTTTTATTAGAGTACCCACCCAAAAAGAGGCAGGATCTGTTTGGGTAGCCACATCAGCTGTACCAGGGACCTTAGCAATCACTTAAGCCAGTGGTTCTCAACCTTCTGGCCCTTTAAATACAGTTCCTCATGTTGTGACCCAACCATAAAATTATTTTCGTTGCTACTTCATAACTGTAATGTTGCTACTGTTATGAATCGTAATGTAAAATATCTGATATGCAGGATGGTCTTAGGCGACCCCTGTGAAAGGGTCGTTCGCCCGCCAAAGGGGTCGCGACCCACAGGTTGAGAACAGCTGACTTAAGCCAATGATTCACAAAGACCCATTATTAATTTTCCATGATAAATTTAATGTTTTGGAAATTTTCCTACTAAAAATTTACTAAACAAACACCTTTCCATTTATAACTACCAATGTGATTAGCATGAGCTTGGCTGATAAAATTCTAAACAAAAGAAAACAAATACACCATGGTTAGTAGGTGGCTAGTTGCAGGTAATGGTGTGATTTCCACTAACTGGCCTGAAGTTTTGTTTGTTGTTTTTTTTAATATATTTTTATTGATTTTAGAGAGGAAGGGAGAGATAGAAACAATCAATGATGAGAGAGAATCATTGATCGGCTGCCTCCTGCATGCCCCACACTGAGGATTGAGCCTGCAACCTGGGCATGTGCCCAGACCAGGAATTGAACTGTGACTTCCTGGTTCATAGGTCGATGCTCAACCACTGAGCCACGCCGGCTGGGCTGGCCTGAAGTTTTGGAAGTGGCTCCACCACTGAATTCATGGAGCAGTGTAATGTAGGGATCCCGAGAGGGAAACCACTAATGTTGTCCAATCCCCTCACTTTCGGGATGAGGAAAAGGCATGGAGAGGTAAGGTGACATGTTCCAGAATGCAGGTCTAGCCAAACCGCACTAATGTGGCTCCATGTTGTGGGTAGCCAGGCAATTCTACTTGAGGGTTTATTGGTTGTGCTGAGAAGCAGTGCGAAGACAGAAAGGCATGCACGACAGAAATAAAAGGCAAAGGGGGGAAGAACATTTTAAAATCTTAAAATCGGTAGAAATAAGTATAGCTTTGAATTTCACAAGTGCTGCTGGTTAGCAGTTGCTCTACTCTTGGCTATTCCAACTGTCATTTCCAACAGTGAGGAAAAAAACAACTTTATTCCTATCTTTTCCCAAATTATGGGAAAAGATATGACATTTTCCTACCCTAACATAACAGAATCATTCAGGATTGGATCTGATCATTCACAAAGTAGGAGTCTTCACTGTGGTAGGATTCCACTACCAGGTCCTGCGAGCAGTGGCTATTACATCTGACTTTCCTGTTACCTTAATTCTGTGCAATCTGAATGCCTCTTTTTCATCCCATTTGCTGCACCACAAACCATGACTTTGGGAATACTATGTTCAGTATTGAAATTATCCAATGAATAAAAATAATGTAAAGAAAAGGAATCAAGATCTATGTTCCAGTGTACTTCCAAAAAAAAAAGAACATGTACCTGGGTTGGCACCATCAATACAATGCAACAATATAACAACAAGCTCAGTAAGTGGAGTGGTATTACACTGTGCACACTGCATCTCTAGGTGAGACCCACTACCCACAGAGGGAGGGAGAAAGGGAGGTACTGCATGTTCTCTATCATAGGCGGCCTTTAACTGAATGCTGGTACTACTGTCTGTAGGGACCTTCTGCAGAAAATTCACCAGCTAGGAGAGTTAGATCACAAAGGTACTGAAGAGATGAAAGCCTTTCCCATCTAGTCCCTGACACCCAGGAACTTTCATGCTAGTACATGAGTTCATGTAGTACCTGTACCGAGAGAAGGGGCTAACATTCATTGAGTGCCTGGGTGGCCTACACAGGGCCAGGCATTGTACCATGGCACACAGCCCCACCCAGGCAGAAAGCCTGTATCCTAGCTCTCTTGTCCTACTGGGTACTTCAGTGGGAAATGACCCAATCTCCTCCTTCATGCGCACTGTGCATGCCCACCTTGAACTGGATCACCTTCCCCACGTTCTTGAACTCAGGGAGCACGTCCTCATAGAAGTCCAGGAACTGCTGGTAGGTCTCCTCTTCACTGTACTCCAGGCTGGCGTCGGGGTCATAGTCATCCCTTCTGCACTGCTCCATTCCAAATGTTGTAAACATGCTTCTAATAAGAAGGGTGGGGCTCGATGTTGGGAAATTGTGTTTACGTGAACACCTGCATATGAAAGGAAAGTTTAAATTCAGTAGTCCAATAGTTAGAAATTACACATAAAGTGCTTGCGTTAAATTTGGAGATCGAGACTCAAGTAACTTGGCTGTTTTGACTTAATTGTAAAATAAATCCATTCAGACATCAACTTTCAATACTTAAGAAAACTGTTTTAAGACTGAGCAATATATTGATTCCCATTAAAATGCAAAAATTATTTCCAAGTTCATTTGCCATTCGGTACCCCATGTGGGACTTAGGAGGAAGGTGAGAACAATACAATCCTTGTTCTAGACAATCTTCAACTAACCTGATGCTTAGAGAATAGGGTTATCTAAGAGTTGCCAGCTAATGGAGTACTTCAACCTCATACATGTATAACATAAGTTTTCATGGCATTTCTACATTTTTCCCCTCTGATCCTTGCAAACTGTTGGGATAGTTGGGGCTAGTATTTCTCTGTACTTTGCAAAGAAGCAAGCACTTACCCAAGTCACATGGCTGATAATTAAGAAAGGATCCAAGAGATCTGAGTTAACCTACAGTTCATTAAATGGTATGGCAAATGTAATTAATTTTTATTTAATTGAAGAAGACTAACCATTATGAAGAACAATTTTCTTCTCATTGTGTAAACTGGACCAGTCCATACCTGAATAACTCTTTAAATATCTTTTATTTTTTTATTTACATCCTTCTCCTAAAATAAAATGAAGGGGGAGAAATGTACTTCACAATTCCAAATCATCAAAATTTTCCTGTTAGGTTTCTAGTTATAAAATTGATTAGGGCACAATTTTTAGGAAAAAAAAAAAAAACCAACCCAGAACTTGTAGAAAGAAAAAAAGCTGAAGAACTAGGCATGTGTTGGGAAAAATAATGGCCCTAAAATGACTAAATGTTTAACTCATCCTCACTTTCCATGTGTACAATATGTATCTGTACACCTAGTGAGATACTGCACACAGAATGTCCGCACACACTGTGCCCAGCTCAGAAATGTGCAGTCAGTGTTCATTAATGTGAAATGTTATTTTTCCAAAGGACCCGCCTAGATTATTCAGTTAGGGACCTTCTGATGAGATCCATCTTCCCAAGTACAGCTACCAACAGAACAAAGAGCTATGACTCAACCTAACTGGCAGTGTTAGCCGTGAATCAGAATTTTACAAGTATGAAGCACATGCAGAATTAAACAAGGAACGAATTTAACAAGGTTAACATCCTGCTCATGGGTTTATTACATCTAAATGAACTTGGTTTTAGTTCCCAAGGTGTCAAATGAGTGTTTGTGAGTTCTGGAACAGAGCCAAAGTTCCCATCTAGGGAAAACGTCCCCTTGGCCTGGAGATAGGCCATATAACTGAATATATTCAAGGCCAGCCCTACAGCTCCTACCGAACTCAGCTAAGATAAAAAGAGATTTGGAAAAGCAGTCTAATGCTGTGGTATCAGGCCTGTGTGATTCTTCTGCACACGGATCATCTGTTCGGATTTCAGAGTGGGAGACCCATATTTTCAAAGTAACTCCCCACTTGGTCCTGAAGGTCAGCCATGTTTAAGAACCCCTTGTTTAGAACATGCCACTTACCCATTACTCAGATACTTAAATCAAGTAAGACTGGCACAAAATCACATACCTTAACATTACCTTACCCCAAGGACAGCCAATAAATGGTGTGGGTCTCCAAATGCCCCTCAGGTAAAGCTGACTGATGGCACCTCTTTTTCTCTTTTCAAGGGAACACTCCAGGTACCCACCATCACTGTCTCTCTCTCTCTCTATACACACACACACACACTAGAAGTCTGGTGCACGATTCATGCACAGATGGGGGGGGGGCGTCCCTCGGCCTGGCTGGCCAGTGGCGGGGTAGGGGGGACAGCAGGAGGTTGGCCAGCTGCGGGAGGTTGGCTGTGGGAGCACACTGACCACCAAGGGGCAGCTCCTGCGTTGAGCATCTGCCCCCTGGTGGTCAGTGTGTGTCATAGCTACTGACCAGTCAACCGGTCATAATAGTCATTTAGGCTTTTATATATATACACATACACATACACACACACACACACACACACACACACACACACACACACACTGCAATTAGGCTGCAATCATTTATTGAAGGTCTCTGTAAGAAACATTCTCATGAAAATTACATATGCAACTGTTAACAAAACATCTATCAAAGTTATTGTTTACCTTCCTATTCAATGTCTTTACATAGTTTTTAATGGGAGAAACATTTAGAATCCAATACCAGGAAAATTTCTGCCTTTCCAGAGATACTTCTCATTCTTCCTTTTTGGTAAGAACTATATAGCTCATCATCTGCCTGGGATATATTCAAATCCAGTGTCAAATATTCTGCACATTCACAGCCCACTTTCTCCTCCTTTCCTTAATTTCGATTTCTTTTATTTTATTAAACAGTGCAGGAGACCCTGAGTTTTCTTTATACCTCACGCATTTCCTTAGTGCAGGAAATGCATAAGGTATAAATAACTACTCTGATAAGTTTTACCTTTCATCAGTAATTATGTTCTTTTAGGAAGAAAAAAGTAACAACCCCCCTCAAAGCTCTGACTCTAAAATATATCAACTCCAGAAAGGTTCTAGAATTGAACTGTACTAATTACAGAAACAAAACCAAAGAAATGCTTAGGCTACGGAAGTGTTGACTGATGATGTGACAGATCTCAACAGAAACGAACAGTTGTGTGATCCAGAGCAAGTCCCTACGGCTCCCTGTAAAAGGGGCACAGTGTTTTTGTTGGAAGGGATGGTGCTGGATTTTGTAACTGCTAATTTCTTAGAATTTGATTTCACAACTCACCACTTGAACAATGAAAATATCCAAATTGCTGTCCTACTTTTTTTAAATAGTTGTGATGGTAAAATGTCATATGCCTATCAAAATGTTAAGAAATGTTCACAAACTAATCAGACCACTGTCAGTATTTCCTTGAAAAGACTCTCAGGGGTGAGTTTTGAGAGCCTGATAGGCCATAACCTTTTCTGCAAATAAGCACTGTCAACTGATTTCCTGAAACTGCTTAGGACATTTTCCCTTCTATCTTATGCCCAACAGAAGGAGAATCCCAGAATCAGATGACCACAGTCTTAAAATTCAAGAAAATGTTAGAGATATGTTTCATCAATGAGGAAACCTGCAGCTGGAAGACCTTAAATGCAATCTGGTTCAACTATCTACACAAATATAAACTCATGCTGAGTCTTAATTGCACACTGGTGTTTTACATTAATCATTATTATTTCTTTTTTTAAAAAAATATATTTTATTGATTTTTTACAGAGAGGAAGGGAGAGAGATAGAGAGTTAGAAACATCGATGAGAGAGAAACATCGATCAGCTGCCTCCTGCACACACCCTACTGGAGATGTGCCCGCAACCAAGGTACATGCCCTTGACCGGAATCGAACCCGGGACCCTTGAGTCCGCAGGCCGACGCTCTATCCACTGAGCCAAACCGGTTACGGCATTATTATTTCTTGATGAAACTGAACATACATTTGGAAAACACTTGTAAAAGTACAAAGGGAAATAAAGTTTCATTAGTTACCAGTTCCTCAAGAGGAAACTTTCACTATTGACCAGATCCTGTGAATCCTTTCAAAGATCTTCTGGGCATATATAATCCTATTATAAAATATAAAAGGAGTTAACCACCCTGCATTTGGGACTCTCAATCCTGGGGGACATTAGAAATACTTGAGGACATTTCAAAACTAAGGCTGCCCAAGTCTCAGAGACTCTGATTTATTCAAATTGAATTAGGACATACTTTTTGTTACAGTTTTCTAGGTGATTCTAATGTGCATCTAGGGTTGAGGACCATTGTTCTTAAAAAAAATGTAAAATGGTATTAATGCTTTAATTTAAAAAGAAATAGAAGAGAAAGATAGAGAAGGTTCATATTTTCAAAGAAGGAAATTATCTCATGGCAGGGATAATTTTATGAATAAGATAAACACGAGAGACAACATACAGTTTCTCATCGAATACATATGAAATTGACTATTCATATCCCTTTTTTGGAATTAATAGGACACTAATATATGATTAGAAATTTTCTTCTGCAGAATGCATAGTAATAATTAGATTTTGCCTTGGGTGGATTCATTCATCATTATGAATTATTTACTTAATTTGAGTTACTCATTCATAAACAGGCCAAATTATAAAAATCGCCATTGCCTGGCATACAGTAGGTATGAAGACATCGCTAAATGAAGACATCAACACTTAATTTTCCACATGAATGTTTTGTTTCAAAAACACTGGTGCAAAAGAGGCAGGGAATAAGAGTTTCTCAGAGAATAATGGCAACAATAACAAAAAACACTCCAAGAGTGCTCGCCATTTGCCTGACACTATTCTACCTGCTTTCCCTACATTCACTCATTTCAGCCTTAAACCCCTTATTAGAGGGTAGGGGTAAGGTGTGTGGGGGGAAGCAGAGAACAGACAATGGGGAACTGGAGAAGCAGTAAGAACATAGCAGATGCCTGACTGTGAACACTTCAAACTCAAGCCCAAGTCACCCCTAAAAATAGAACTCAAAAAGCTCAACATTTTGAGGCACTTCATTCTGACATGATAAAGCAAAATTAGTTACCTATCTCCAAATCTGCAAGCTCCCGTTTTACTGTAGAATGGACAGTTAGCTCGATCTTTCTCCATTATTCTTACATCCGTGGGTGGTTCTGGGTTTTGCCATGTGGCACTATTTTCCAACTGTTGAAAATAACCATGATCCATTAAGAATTAAATGTTTAAAATGTATTCAACTGTTTTGGTCAAAAATAAAGATGGATTCTCTTAGTAATATTAAGTTGTACCATGTAACTTAAGTTGTAACATGTAATGGAGACTTGAAAAGCAATTGGGCTGAGACACAAACTGTGTCTCTCTTGGTTCCCAGTCACCACCCATTACCAGGCATCACCACAGCGACCAAGAGCAGTCACCAAGGTTTCCCTTTGTCCAGGCATTCTGAAAAATGGCCAGGAGTTTTTAGAGCAGCGGTTCTCAACCTGTGGGTCGCGACCCCTAAGGGGGTCGAACGACCGTTTCACAGGGGTCGCCTAAGACCATCGGAAAACACATATATAATTACATATTGTTTTTGTGATTAATCACTATGCTTTAATTATGTTCAATTTGTAACAATGAAATTGGGGGTCACCACAACATGAGGTCGCGGCATTAGGAAGGTTGAGAACCACTGTTTTAGAGAACCACCACTGAGAGAAATCAAGGTTACTCTGAAGCAGGAAGGTAAAGGGTCCGTTGGGGGGAGGGGGTAAGAGTGTATGCTGTTTCTTATTCGAACATTAAGGAGTATAAACAAGTACAGCCCACAGGGGTGATTCAATACCATTTGCTTTTATTCATTGATAACTTCTGCAGTTCTTGTTGTTGCATAAATCACAGAGGTGCAAAAGTGACCCCAGATATTTTAGACATGATCTACAGAGCCAACCGCAAAAATAACATTGCTGGAAGTATTGTTTTTAAAGAAATGCTCATCAGTCTCAAATTCTTAACGAAAGGTTTTGAAAATACCTCATTTTCAGCCCGCTCCAGCATCTTCTGCACAGCCTCCTACAAATGGTGCAAACATAGGACTAGTGAAAACCTGGAAGTCAGGTAAGTCACATCTGGTTTCTCTGGTTAAGAATCTCATGTGTAAAAATTTTAACAACCCATTCATACAAAAAGTTTTAGTTTCTAATTTGCTTTCTACAGCACTAATCTTCTGAAAAGATTTCAAAGTTGAGTTTTCATTCAAATAGGACATTTACTGGCTCAGATTGCAAAAATATTGAAAATATCTTAGAACAGTAACAGTCATATTTAGTGTATCTGAGCATATATGTCATGTTCTAGTTTTTAAGATGAGGTATTATGAATATTATAAAACACAATGGTAGAAGAAACATCATAAACATTGAATAGATGCTAAAATGTGACATGAACAGTAGTAATTAGGATTGATGAAAAATTTCAAACTTTTCAATAAGGCAAAGGAAGTCCTGCAATATGCCAATAGATTTGACTTCATTGGCATTTAAACAAGTTTTTGAAATTATGGTCAACGGACTTTTCTTCCCTAGACCCTTAAAGCGTTACATAAAAGACTCATCTATCTAGCTTCTTTCTTAATAACTCTACCTGGTCATGTGAGAGTCCTCAGTAACTTAAAAGATCAAATGAAAACTACTTCTTCCCTACCTCTCACCCCATTTCAGTTCAAACTAAAAACCTACAAGTGTATGACTTAAACTCCCCTTTCTTTTTTTTAAAAATATATTTCTTTATTGATTTCAGAGAAGAAGGGAGAAGGAGAGAGAGAAACATCGATGATGAGAGAGAATCATTGATCGGCTGCCTCCTGCACGCCCCACACTGGGGATCAAGCCCACAACCCAGGCATGTGCCCTTGGCCGGAACCGAACCTGGGACCCTTCAATCCGAAGGCTGATGCCCTATCCACAGAGCCAAGCCAGCCAAGGCTCCCCTCCCTTTTTCCCCTCCCTGTACATTCAATCTACCAGCTAGAGTCCTATTAACTCTGCCTCAACACACCCCAAATCTGTGTACTTTTCTGTATGAAGCACTACCTTCATCCAAACCAACACCATGTCCTATCTGGAACAGCTGCCTTCTAACTAATCACCTTATTTCCACTTTTGCCTCCTTGCTCACTACCCCCTTCTTTATACAAAAGTTAGAATGCTCTGTTAAAGGTAAAGATATAAATTAGATGAAGTCACTCCCTGCTTAAAAAACCTTCAATGGCTTCCCATTACTTGTAATATAAAATCCAAATTCCTCCTTCAAATCCAGGTCTTACATGATCTGACCCTGCCCACCCTCCTGACCTCTCCACCTGCCACTCTCTTCTTTGGTCTCTGGGATTAAGGTACCCTGACCTTCTTTCCACTCCAAGCACAGGCCTCTTCCCTCTGCCTGGACCCCTTTTCTCCCTGAGATCTCTGCACTCAGGTATCAGCTGACAAATCGGCTCCTCATAGAAGTCTTCCATGACCCCGCAATCTAAAAAAGTACTCCCCTACCCTCGTCACTCTATCACATGACTCTGCTTTATTTCTTTACAGCACCTAACATGATCTTATAGCACTTAAAATGAGCTTTTTTTTGCTTACTTATCATCCAACTCTCCCCTCTAGAAAACTAATTCAATGAGAGCAGGGACTTTTTTGATGCTTTATTTCTATCCACTAGAGAAGTATCTAGCACAAAGCAGAAACAGACTGCATATCCCTTTTATAAGCTTAGAATCTACTTCATTTTACCCCTTTCTCCTTAATGTCTCAACAGACTTCCTCTGAAACAAATGCCTTAGTATTTTAAAAAAAGCCTTAGCTTTTATCTAATGCCAGAAAGACTGAAATTAAAGAATATTCTACTACTAAAATGGGAATTGATTACTCTCTATTAAAAAATGACAAGTTCCAAACAACTGCCCTGCCCCTAAAAAACTACTGTGGTCTTGTCTTAATCTGGAAAGCAGTGCTCAAATAAGGGTGTCTAAAAAAACTTGCACTGGAATTAATTGATAGCCTGAGCCGGAGACACAAAAAGCAAAGGTCAAAAAGGCTGCTTCTACCCATCATGACTAGGGTGTAAATAAATGCATTTTCCCCATGATATAGTGATTAATTACCCAATTTTATACTAATCAAACCCAACAATATTACAGAAAAGATACATCCTGATGAATGACTCAGGAAAGATGACCTGTGGTATCTTTGAAATAAATACACTGTTAAGGAACAGCAACAAAATATACCAGATCTTTAAAAAGAATCCTGAAGATACAGACAGGAGATATGTACATATAACCTTATAAATTTTTTTAAATGAGCAACTATGTGTTAGCTACAATTGTATTATAGCCCAAGATAGAAAGGGAGTCAAGATTTAACAACAAAAAAACCTTCCTAATTCCTCAATATTTGAGTTCCTAATTTCCTTCAATCAACTAATTCTTGCCGACATGTCATAAGCAGTTAACTCTTATAAATCAAATGTGAAAACTATACAAAATATTATTCTGTAAGTCAACCCATATACAACAGCATTTGCTCTAGAGTAGTACATAGGATAAAGCAGGGGCCCACCGCCTGTTTTTGTAAATAAAAATAAAGTTTTATTGGAACATAGCCACAACCACTCATTTACAGAGTATCTATTGGCTGCTTTCACGGCACACTGGCAGGGCTGGGTGTTTGCAGCAGACACCGTATGAACCATAAAGCCTAAAATGTTTACACTCTGGCCCTTTACAGAGTTTGCCAATCCCTGGTAAAAAGGGTAAGATGGGTAAAGCTGAAGAAAAACCTTAATTAAAGTAGCCGCCAATGCACAGATGAAAAACTCTAGAGCACCAGAAGCAAATTCTAGTGTATACTTCACTAAAAACATGACTCTTCCTACACAAAAAACTGGAGCCCAAGCCCTGCTATGCCTATACCTTAATCTTCAACCCCATCACTTGCCACATCAGCTCACTAAGAGGATACGCAGTGCGTTTATCCTCCTGTGACAGGAATCACCTCTCTTTCTCTCTTCTCTTGTAGCTTCTGCTCCTCCTCTTCTTTCTCTTTTCTCTGCTGTTCTTCCCATTCTTCCTTTAACTTTCTCTTTACAGGGGGGAAAAAAAGGAAAAGTAGTATTTTTTTCAGACTTACTTTTCACATACAGGGCAAATAAAACAATTTTTTACAACATTGATAAAATGAGTGATATCCATTTTTTTAAGTTCAAGATATTTAACTCTTAATGAGTTTTGGGTTAATTAGTCAACTGGTTGTCTGATAATACTGTACCTCCTGTTCTTCCTGCCTTTTTCTAGCTGCCTCTTCCTTTTCTTTCTTTATTCTGAATTCTTCTTGTGCCTTCTGCTCCCGCAGCAACCACTCCTCATGTAATTTTTGCCTATAAATGTGATAATGCAATCAAATAAAAGAAATGGGCAATAATCTACAAATACACACACACACACATAATAGCAAAAAATGGCATGTTTGGAAATGATTAAACTATCACGAAAGACATTTTCTAGAAAGCAGTTAAGTGGGAGTAAGAGGGTCAGAAGACATGAGTAACGATCTTAGAAAAGCACTACACTTATTTCAGCAACTGTCTTCCTAGAAGGCAATAGCTTAAAATCACTACTACATTTTGTATTTGTGACATCTCTCACATAAAACAATGACACTACAACTTTCCCTGTCGGTTGACCATAGTGATGTTTAGATGCCAATAAAGCAAGTAACAAGTTTCAAAGCCACATCTAGCTTTTCACATTCAAAATGTATTACCCTTCCTATTCTGCACATTCTAAAAGTGGCAATTGCAGGATTGCAGCAGTAGGGAAAACTGGCATCTTCTGCCATAAGCCTTTGGACTGCTACTATATACAGTTAAGAGACTCCTGTGGTTTGTCCCAAGCACTGAAACAACTGAAACAAGGAAAATAAAACTAAATCATCATGTCTTTAAAATGAAGAAAGTTACAGGTTTTAAGAAAAGATGACAAGGAGTTATAAAAATAAATTAGCAGGTATCTAGTTTATTTTAAAAATGACCAATTATAAAGAGTGATGCTATCTTAAATTGGTGTCTTAGACATCAAATATCACAAGTTTCTAATTTAAAGATGGGTTATGGCTCAAAAGTTTATTAGCCAATCGGGGGTGTTTAGAACCCAGATTGCATTTCCCCATGGAATCTCGAAATGGGAAATGAAATATGAGAAATTGTTCTACATCTCTTCAGCAACATTAGGAGTTAAATAAGGTTTTATGTCTAGGGACCTAGTCACAATTTCAAATAATCTATGGGGAAAATATATTCCATTTCCAACTGCAGATTCTAGGAACACGTCTTTTAGCCATGATAGAGACTGGCATACTGCAAATGTTGAGAGTTACACATGGATTTTTGACTGTGCAGAGAGTCGGTGCCCCCAACCCTCATGTTGTTCAAGGATCAACTGTGTGACAGCACTATAACAGAAATCTATAATAATAAGAACCAGAGTTATCACAGCACCTCTTATCTGCTAACACTATGCTAAGTATTATGCATTTATCCCAATTTTATGAGGTAGGTACTATGACTGACTTTATCTCTGTATTTAAGGCAAGGAAATTGAAGCTTAGAGATTAAGCAACTTGAATACAACTACTAAGTAGCAGGGCCAGGCCTGAAATGCAGATCTGGCTGAATCTACTCCATGTTCCCAATCACTATTACATTTTTTTCTGTTTGGCATTTTGATCAATTCATCTAATTATGTGCTTAGGTACATAACAGGAATTAATTATAAGAAGCAACATTTCTAATGAACATACTAAATAGAGAGTGTCTATAAAGTTCTTTCTCCTTTTAAAACATTTTTATTTTTTATTGTGGCAAAATATACCATAAAAATTTGCCATTTTAACCATTTTTAAGTGTACAAGTGAGTAGCATTAAGCAAATTCACATTACTATGTTTAACTTAAACAAAGACAAAACTACCCCCTGAAAAATACTAGAGAATAAAACACACAATATTTTGGCATCTTGGAATGAGGGAGGCCTTTTTTAAGTCAGACACCAAGGCAAGATAACATGATGAAAGTTGACAATATGAAAATCAAATGATGGTAATTAATGCTGTAAGCCAAGTTAGGATTGATGACAAATGAGAAAAAATATACATCACACATATGACAGATAAAGAATATTCTTAATCAAGTAATAACACTGCTCACACAACAAACTTAAAAAATATGTAACAAAAGAGAAATATGCAAGACTTAAGCAAGCAATCTATAAATATGTAATAAAATATATAAAAAGATACTCAACCCTACTAATTAAGAAATGTACATTTGAAACAATGAAATACAACTTTTGACTATAGGAGTTTATAAAATTGATAATACCTAGTGCAAGTGAAGGTATGGGGAGATGGGCACCTTGATTCACTGTTGGAGGGGCTGCAGACTGCAAACTGGGAAGCCCTTCCTACCTGCCCATCTACATTGTATGTGTATTTATCCTTTGATCGCAACCATTTCATTTCCAGGCATTTTCCTAAGGAAATAATAGGACAGTTACCAAGGATATATATGGTCACTGCAATTTTTTTAAAAAATCCTCACCAGATGACATGTTTTCCATGGATTTCAGAGAGAGAGGAAGGCGGATGTGAAAGAAAAACATCAATTGCATCCATATGCTGCCCAACCGGGATCAAACCCACAACTGAGGTACGTACCCTTGACAGGGAATCCAACCTGTGACCTGTCAGTGCTCTGGCCAATGATCTAACAACTGAACCACCGGCCAGTGCCTTTTTAAATACAACTTTTTATATAATAGCAAAAAACTTGAATGTAAATAAATAGTACATAGTAAGCAAATGTTAGTTAATAGTAAATTACCTACATGTCCATTAGTAAATTACAAATTATGAATAAAGAATAAATTATGCTATATCTATACAATGAATACTATGTTGCCATTGAATTGGTTGAATTGGATCTCTGCATCAACACTAAATGACCTACATATTTAGCAAAAAAAGCAATGTACAGAAAACGTATAAATATCATCCTATTATAGAAATACATGTACACTTTCTCTCTTACATTCTTTTTTTTTAATACTTACCTGAAGATTTTTTAATTGATTTTTAGAGAGGAAGGAGGAGGGAGAGTGACAGAAACATGGATTGGTTGCCTCATGTAGGCACTCGACCAGGGATTGAACCTGAAACCTGGGTATGTGCCTTGACTGGTAATCGAACCCATGACCTTTTGGTGTACAGGACTATGCTCCAATCAACTTAGCCACAGGCCAGGGCTCTTTTTTATATTCTTAACAGTGACTATCTTTGGGTGTGTTGAGTTCATTAAAGCCCTTTCACTTTTTACACTTCTTAATTGTTTGGATTTTTTTCGAAAACATTTATGAATTAGCAAAAACAGAAAAATACTTTCATTAAAAATATGACAACATCTAGTTATAGCCTGTCAGCTAGAGATTTAATTATCCAAGGTATTTTATAAGACTTATTTTGGACAGGGTGCTAGAAAAAAGACCCATACTCCTTAGTAAAGACATAATATTCAAATGAAATAACTGGCTTCACAAGAAGTGCTCAGTCTATGCTGACCTCTCTATCTCCAACAGCTTCTCTTCTTGATGTTCAATAAAAGATTCCTCCTCTTCCTCCTGCTTCTTCTGTGAGAGTCCTGGGGGAATTTAAATGTTTTATTAAACTATCTGAGAACAAAACCTTAGTCAATATTACAGGGAAAAAATACAGATACATTCTTTAATTTTTACATTTATGGTATGGCCCTATTTTCAAAACTTTCTAATAATAAGGCTCTAACTGCCCAACTTTGGTACAATCTGAGCATCAAAATGAAAAGGGGTCACGACCCACAGGTTGAGAACCGCTGGACTAGACACTGCCTAGACCAGTGGTTGGCAAACTGCGGCCCCTTGAGTGTGGCTCTTCCACAAAATACCACGGGCGGGCGTGCACGGACAGTGTGACTGAAACTTCGTGGCCACACTCAAGGGGCCAAAGAGCCGCATGTGGCTCGCGAGCCGCAGTTTGCCGACCACTGGCCTAGACACAGCCAATATGCAAAAGTATCTGTTGCCTGATTCGCTCAACTCCTCATCATGCCTCAAACCAAGCTCACACACTCCAGGTGATCACTAAAAGTTTTGGGTGTAGCCTATTCTCTACATTTATGTATCCTTGCATATATTTGATCATACAATATATCTAACTGTATTATACATGCAATTATGTATGGAATCATGCCAGTTTTACAACTTGCTAACAAGGCAGCTCATTCCAGGTTATTTTAAGTAGAAGTTGGTGCTAAAGAGACTACGTGTAATTGAGAGGCCGACATTTCAGAAATTTCTACCAATCATTTGTCAACTCACTCTTATAGCAATTTTTTAGAATACCTCTATAATCTAACCTTCTGGGCACTGTTTACCCATCTAATGTGTGCTATAATGAACTGCCTCTCCACAAAGGCTCAATCCCAACGCACTTTGCAAAGTCAAAGGGGATTAAAAAAAAATCCAATGCAATACAAACAACAGCTATAGGATTTAAAATGGAAAGAAAAAAAGTAAGAAGTTTAAAAAAAAGTGTTAGAAGAAAACAGGTTAATAAAGATAGCTGAGAACTTTAAGGGGGTGGGGAGATCACTAACAGCATCAATAACTTGAACTCACCCTGTTTTTCCTTTTATCCCTGATACTTTATCCTGCCTCTAGTGGACCAGTTTTAAATGAATAAAAAAGGAGGTGCTAACAAAGGTTGCAGTTAAACACACTTTTTCCATTCTAAATATTCCAAGCATTGCCTCTAAATCAAGCATGTCAAATTCGCAGCCCCTAGGCCACATGCGGCCCACGATGAATATGTCTGTGGCCCAGCCAATATAATGGCATGTAAGAAATCCTATATAATAAAAGGCTAATATGCAAATTAACCGAATGGCGGAATGACCGGTTGCTATGACGCACACTGACCACCAAGGGGCAGACGCTCAACACAGGAGCTGCCCCCTGGTTGTCAGTGTACTCCCACAGGAGGAGCACTGCTCAGCCAGAAGCCCTGAGCTGAGCTCATGGCTGGTGAGTGCAGTGGAGGTGGCGGGAGCCTCTCCCACCTCCACAGTAGTAGCGCTAATGTCTGACTGACAGACATCCCCCAAAGGCTCCCAGACTGCGAGAGGGCGCAGACTGGGCTGAGGGAACCCCCAAGCGCACGAATTTTGTGCACTGAGCCTCTAGTGTTTTAATAAAAATTCCGTAACTTAATTTTTACAATATTCTGTTATACATAATTATTAATAATGAACTACAACATTTGCTAATGACTGATTACTAATCGTGTTGCATTCATTCCCCTTATGTGCAGGCATACCATTTCTCTCCACTGATACCAGCAGCGAATATTTTAGCAGCCAATGGCCATGTCATTAGTCTTGGACTGACTTGTTTGGTGTGCGCAACAGGAAATACTGCTCTTTCCAAGAACAAGAAAAATAGGTTTATTTGTGTTACACTTATTAATTTGTGCAGTAATTCAGTGTCTGGTAAAGTAATGTTCAAGAAAAAATATTAATTTTTATTAAAATGTTCTGTTATTTTATGTTAACGATTACGCATTTATTGCAACCCTTTGTATTCAGCATGTCTCTATTGAAATAAACCTACGTTTCTATGAAAATGGAAGCTTTTGGGTTTTTTGCAGCCCACATACACTTAAACCTTATTTATTTGGCCTGTGTTAGCCTTTGAGTTTAACATGTTTGCTGTAAATAATTACTAGGCAACTCCAGTGGTAAATAAAACTTCTATGGCTTTGTTTCTCAAGGCCCAAGAATCCTGGTTACTTAAGGCCAGGGTCTGTGAACTTCAAGAATTGTCAGGATAACTTAATAAGCATATTCTGGATAATCTGTACAGCAACCATTATAGCTCGGTAGTCCAGTGTGATTTCAGTGCTTCCATCTACATTTGTAACTACCATATAATTTTATAACTAAGTTAGTAGTACTAATTTTATTATATTAAACAGACAGGTTTAATATATAAATGTTAGATTCCGCCATGTGAAGGACAAATGATACCATGGCCAGTACAGATGAATGTTCCACAGTATTTTAACAGAAAAATAACCACAGGGCAATAGTATTAGTAATAGCATTTCAAATTCCAATCAGTGCCATATTCATGTTGTATCTGTCTCCCATCATCTGTAACATCACATTAATGTAGATGTGATTTTTACTGGATGTGTAATTTCACTTGGTTTTGTATATATATTATTTATAGTTAAGTAAGAGTTTGGTAACTAGTTTTATGCTTATATATTTCAATAACATATCAATAACAACTTGAGTCAACAAAGGGTCTCTTATATTACTAAAGTTTGAGAGAAACTTGCAAAATGTCTAAAATCCTCAACTCCTGCTGGTTTTGCAAAGAAAAACATTCACCGAATACTTAATACGTGCAAGGGCTGTACTAGCTGCTGTAATTCATGATGTGCGCACCTGTAATGTTAGATAGTTCCTAAGTACCTACACACAATCAGTGGGTGATGATTCACCAAGACCTTTTCCTCCTCTGTAGTACGGTAACAAGGTTTCCGACATGGGTCTAACATAACTTGACTTGGAGCCCCAGCAATTCCTACCAGATACAGTTCTCAGCATCCTTCTGACAAGGGCAAGTTAAGAGAGGGCAGTGGGAGAGCAATTTCATTCATACACAGAAAACGGAGTAAGAGGCCGGTTACCTGAGTCTCTCAATCGAGCGAGTTCCTGACGGCGTTTCTTCCGTTTCTCCTTCTTCAGGGCGGCCCTGTACTTTTTGTGGCTGCGAAAAGCAGACAAGCACACTCGGCGTCAGTGGCCGCACCTGAGGCGCTGCCTGCCTGGGCTCCGCTCTTCTCGGCGCCCAGTGACAGGAAATCCCTCGGCCGCTCAGGAGTGAAATCTTGCTTCCCGTGTTTTATTTACAGGACACGCATTTGCCATCCCTCGCCCTTGCCCGCCCAGACGGCAGGTGTTCTCCATCCCGCCACCTGCTCTCCTGATCACCTCCCGGAGCCCACCGAGAGCCCACCGACGTCCGGGACAGGAGAGCGCCCCGGGAGGGCTGGAGCCGCCGCGGTCGCCGGCTAGGCCTAGCTCCCCCTTTCCTTCCTGCTTGCACACCCTCCATGCCCAGGCTCGGCCCGCTCCGTCCCCTCTTCCAACCAGCTCATCTCCCTCAGTCCAACTTACCTTAGTTTGTCCGGAAGCATCACCGTCTGGGGCGCCGCCATGTTGCCGGCGCCGCCACGCCCACAAGAGCCTGCCGGGAAAGGCGGGCTCCGGCGAGCGCGCAGCTGCGCGGCTGCGGACGGAACCACGTGGCCCGCGTTCTCCGCCCAGACGCACCCAAGATAGAAAACGGGAGGTTGCCGTCGCTGGCTCGTCTTCCGAAAACCCTGCACAAATAAATGTCTCCTTCTCGAGAATCGCTATGCCGGCCTGCAAGTACCTCTTCCCTCCTACCGCTCTCGACACCATAGTGGAATGGCTTGGGGCCCTGAGGTTAAAGTAACACTTCTTCCTCTTCTCCTCATTCCGCCCCCCCGCCCCAGAGCTCTCCTTGCTTCCCAGTCCGACTTCCCAGGCTCCGCCTCCTTCCGCGACTCCACCAATCAGCGCCTCAGACCAAGCTCCAGATTCACCCCTTTCCATTCACATCTGCGGGCTGCAGAGGTGAACTTAACTCCCTGGCCTAGCTTTGTACCTCTCGCCTCTAAATCAAAATTACTGAGCTACCCAATTCCTAAACTGTCCCGGCTTCCCCTAGTTCCTCCTTGTAATCATTCAACGGAAGCACAAACTCTATATAAAGCCTGTCCTACTCCCTCTTACAGAGACACTTGGAGTAACACACCTCCAAGTTGATCTTGTCCGGTTCAGTGCATCGGTATTTAGAGGCTTTGGAGTTGAATGGACTAGGAAACTCAAGCCTTGGCTCTCTGATCTTGAGTAAATTCCTTAATGTCTAGTCCTCAGTTTATCTGTAAAAATCGAGATAGTAACAATAGTTTTCAAATGTATGCTACGTATTGGCATGCTGCCTGGCAATAGCTGCTATATCATCACCGGTGTGAAAACTTCTCCACCCCCTCAAGAGTGGGTTAGGTATTTGTCCTGCCTGCGCTCCAAGCATAGGTATTCCACCTTTCATAACACCTATCACAATATATTGCACTTTGTTGCTTTCACAAGTCTTCTTGCACTGAATCTTTAACTCCTTGAAGGTAGAGACTTGGCAGTTATATTCTGAAACTAGAGAATGCCCTGAGTGATGCAGAATGTACCTATGCAAATCACCATTTTTCTATTTCCTGTGACCAGGACTTATGCTGAGAATTACTGCCATACTGAAAGCATCAGTGTTCGGGTTGCTGTAACATTTCTTATAAATTGCACTAGACTTTCACATAATAACAAGAAGGAATGTCTTCTAATTTTAAAAGTCATTTCCAAATTATAGTTACCATCATTTAAATCAGCGGTTCTCAACCTGTGGGTCGCGACCCCTTTGGGGGTCGAACAACCCTTTCACAGGGGTCGCCTAAGACCATCGGAAAACACATATATAATTACATATTGTTTTTGTGATTAATCACTATGCTTTAATTATGTTCCATTTGTAACAATGAAAATACATCCTGCATATCAGATATTTACATTACAATTCATAAGAGTAGCAAAATTACAGTTATAAAGTAGCAACGAAAATAATTTTATGGTTGGGGGTCACCACAACATGAGGAACTGTATTAAAGGGTCGCGGCATTAGGAAGGTTGAGAACCACTGATTTAAATGGATAAATCATAAGATAAAAATAAGGTATGTAAACATTTAATGCAAAGATACATTCTGCTTTGATATTCCAATAAATAAAACAAGGTTATCTTTACTCTGCAATATAACATACATTTCCTATTTTCCTTGGTGACTAAATTATATCTACTTATTCTCAAGTAAGTATATTTCAGTTTATGCCCCTTCTATGGGAAAATGCCTAAATTTTTATTTTATGTTGTCAGTAGAAAATAGCTGATTATCTAAAAAATATTTTACTTATATAAATCATGTAGTAGATAATGCTATTATTAAATGTCTTAGTTAATATAAAGAGACCAAACGATAGCCCATAAGTATATTTTTTATTTACTGCAAGCATAAAATGATTTTTAAAAAATGTCTACTCTGAATGTCAGGTTTGGACTCTTTCAATTAGTTTTTTTTTCTTGCTCTAGTAGGACAATGGTATTAGGATTCACTCAATGGTCAATGCAGAAACCCTCAGGAAAGAAAATTTCATTTTTTAATAAAATATGTTTTTATTGATTTTTAAAGAGAGAGGGAGAGGGATATAGAGATAGAAACATCAATGAGACTACTGACTCCTGCACACTCCCAACTGGAGATTAAGCCTGAAACCTGGGTATGTTCCCTGACTGACTGGGAATTGAGCTGGGGACTTCTTGGTTCATGGGTTGACGCTCAACCACTGAGCAATATTGGCTGGGCAGAAAATTTCATTCTTTACCTACTATTAATTTCAGTATTAAATTTGTTCAAGGACATACAACAGGGTCTCAAGTCTCTGCAACCCTCACTGCTATGCCTAGGGATATTAAAATAGCAAGATAAACTACTTATGAATGCATATTAATATGAAAAATGCTGATTTGTAAAAACTGATTGAAAGTTTTCTTTGGAGGAGAGAACTATACAATAATAGTTGTTATTATTTGAGTCTTGTCTAGTGATAAGGTCAAAGCAACACAACTTCAGGTGGTTTGAGAATGAATGGTGGCAGAATTGATCTCCCCACCTAGAACCCAAACAAAAGTACCATTTCTGAAGACTGGTTGAATTAAAAAAAAAACAGTAATAAAAATGTACATATACTGACAATGTCTTAGTCAGTTCTGGCTGCTGTAACAATATACCAGAGATTGGGTGGCTGATAAATCACCACAATTTATTTCTTACAGTCTAGAGCAGCCGTGGGCAAACTACGGCCCGCGGGCCGGATCCGGCCCGTTTGAAATGAATAAAACTAAAAAAAAAAAAAGACCGTACCCTTTTATGTAATGATGTTTACTTTGAATTTATATTAGTTCACACAAACACTCCATCCATGCTTTTGTTCCGGCCCTCCGGTCCAGTTTAAGAACCCATTGTGGCCCTCGAGTCAAAAAGTTTGCCCACCCCTGGTCTAGAGGCTGGGAGGATAAGATCAAGGTGCCAATAAATTTGGTGTCTGCTAAGTACCTCCTTATTGATTCATAGACGGCCCTATTCTCCATGTGTCCTCACATGGTGGAAGGAGTGAGAAAGTTCTCTGGGGACTCCTTTATAAGGGCACTAACCTCATCATGAGGATTCCGCCCTCATGATATAATCACCTCCCAAAGGCTCTACTTCTTAATACCATCACTTTGAGGGTTAGGATTTCAACATATGAATCTTGGATGGGGGGGGCGGGGGCATAAACACTCAGTCCATAAACACAAGAATGCATTACTATTTATCTGCAAAGTAGCCAGTATTGTTTATATGTACTAATTATATGGTAAAATTAGAGCTTATTCACTTAAATGAACTACCCACTTTGATCAATAACATTTTATATGAAACAACTTAACTAACAAAGTTGAATTAAAAATACAATACAACATTAAGTTAAATAAATATCAAATAAATAATGTGTTTCTTCTAGTGACAAAGAAAAATACCTAAAGCAATTTCAATACTGTATTTTTGCTAATATCATGTCCCCCAGAAAGACATCTTCCTAAACTTTTTTGAGGTGGATGCCTGGTTTTAGAATAGCCAACATTACCCTAACGGTCCAGTGGCAGGCAAACTGCGGCTCGCGAGCCACATGCGGCTCTTTTGGAAGAGCCACACTCAAGGGGCCAAAGAGCCTCATGTGACTCGCGAGCCGCAGTTTGCCGACCACTGCTAACCCATGTAGCACTGGGAAAGGAGAAAGGGGCTGGCAGCTTGCCCTATTGATGATGTCAGCAGATCATGCCCTGGTTTCATAAAAAGAGGTGAGCTGAGGGGAGCAGGTGGTTCTTTCCATTCTGGCTTCTCTAGTAAAATCCTTATGAGTTTTCCATTCACTTTCTGATCTACATGTTAGGATAGCTCGCAAATTTTACACACATATTCCATACTCAAAACAACTAATAGGAAGAAAAGCTCGTTCAACAAAACTAATATTATAAAGATGGTTTTATTAATCTAGCATTACTTAATGAAGATGAGCAGCAATTTAAATACAAAATTCTTTCTCAAGCCCTTTGACAGATCTTATCCCCTTCAGGTCTAGGAAGGTAGCAGTAAAACACTTTTGGAGACATGAAGACATAAAATGTTTCCTGCTAGGGTGTCTCAGTAGCCAGGGAATCTCTATTATCCCTTTTGGGGGCAGATAACTAAGGCATGCATGAAACCACACCCCAAGGCAGTTTCCATAACCTCCACAGGGAAGGTGACCAAAAATGTATTATGCAAACATACATACAGGACATGGCTAAGAGTGAAGAGGGTTCTGTTATAAATTACACCAGAACATGAGTAAATCAGGAGTTGTAAACTGAGAAACACCCTATAAATACAGGGCGGGGCAAAAGTAGGTTTACAGTTGTGAGTATGCAAAACACTGAGTTTATTAATTATTGTATTATTTTCCATACAAACAACTGTAAATCTACTCTTGCCCCACCCTGTACAGTTAACCCTTCAACAATGCAGGGCTTGGAGCACTGACATCCTTGTACGGTCAAAAATCTGTGTATAACTTTTGACTCCCCCAAAACTTAACTACTAATAGCCTACTGTTGACTAGAAGCCTAGCTGATAATAAACCATTGATTAATACATATTTTGTATATTATGTACTGCATTGTATTCTTACAATACAGTAAACGAGAGAAAAGAAAATGTTAAGGAAATTATAAGGAAGAGAAAATATTTCCAGTACTGTGCATATTTATTGAAAAAAATTTCGTGTAAGTGGACCCACGCATTTCAAATGCAGTTCAAGGGTCAACTGTACACCCTTTGTACCTCTAAGATATAAGGGTAAGCGGGTGTTCTGTACATTGCTTCTGGCTCCAATTTGGAAGACTCACAGCAATAGAATTTTGCATTAAGAGTTTGCAAGAGGCCTAGGAGGGAAGCTTGTATGAGAGGAATAATGTATATCTTGTGTGTTTACCCTTTCAAAGACAACTATGGTTTGAAACAGATCAATTGAGGTAAACTTTTCCCCCCACATTTATCTTTTTAAGAATTATATTCATTTCCCAAGGTATACTTGCTTCCCTTTCCCAGAAAAGGCATGCACCCTAGAAGCAAATGCCTTCACTCCCCCTTCCAACCTTCTTTAGGGCAGATATAGCCCCCTAAGTTTACATATACAACTTCAATTCTATCTTTTCTTCCTACCGAATTATTTATTTTTAATTAATAATACACATAGCATAAAACTTATCATCTTAACTTTTTCCAGTGTATGGTCCAGTAGTGTTAAGTATATTTATCCAACTCTATCTTGCAGACCAGATTAACATATTCATGAAAGAAATACTACTAATTAATGCAATATTGAGTCTGAACACAGGCTTATTGGCCATTAGAAACATTCCAAGATATTTACAAGCAGGGGCAACAGTGGCATGGATTCCATGGAATACGTAGAATTACCTAGATTTCAGCCTGTCCAATAAGTTTCTCCCCCTTTTATTGTAGCAAAAGTTTTCTAAGCCACTGTATAAACTGGGAGACTTATTTTGATCACCTGTCTTGCCCAGAACATCAACTAAGGAAATAAAGTTCAGACAGTTTTAAACGGAAGCTAAGACTGTTTTGTCTATGAAACAGTGTACAAATAATGCAAAATAATATTATAAACTATATATTACTAATCATTTGAAAAATACTTCCATAAGTATGTCATGAAAGAATTGTAAGTTCCAGGCACTTCAAGCATTTTCTTTAAAATGTTCTACACTGCATATGCTTTTTATATGATCAGGCCTTTAAGTAAAATATCTGATCTTCAGAAATGTAAAAATATTTTCAGGTATCAGTAAATCTTTGTTTTCCTAGGATTACATAATATTTTTTTCTGTATCATAAGTTGATAGTAAGTAAGCAAGCATATCATCTACTAGTAAGATAACTAAAGATCAGAGCAAATATGCTCACTGAGAAGGCCTTATAAAAGAAAATTCATCCATGTTTTAAAATAAAATGTACCTAAAATCATGACCAATGTTCAGCCAGAAAGTACCAGTTTGTGCCTTACCAGTGGTTAAATATTTTGATTGTCATCCCTACTTACAACTCTATATAACCACTAACTGATAATATAAAAAGACAGCTCAAAAAATGTCAGACATTAAAAGACATTATAAAAACCAATAGGTTGCTTTAAGAGAAACTTGAGTTTCTTGTTGCTACTTCAGTGATAAACATCATTATCAATAAAAGACTGAAGGAGCACTACCATACCAAGAAATGCACCTCTATAATTAGTATTAGGTGTTTAGAATAGTCTTAGTTAACAGTTTTTAAAAACCTATTATGTATTAAAGCAAAACACCACCTACATATGGGCGTCTTAGGGGCTAGCTTGGCTGGTCGATGGCTTGGATTTTGCTTGTATATTGAGGATATAATCATGACGGAAGGATGAGCGGACAGTGCGATTCATGAGGGGCTGCAGGGGACGGAAGTTGTCCACCATTCTTTTTTCTTTCTCCCCCTCGGAAGTGAAAAGCAGGGTCCGAAATTGCTCAAGCTAGAAATAGAAACAGGAAGCATAAATAATTTCAATGGAAAAACAGCTTCACTGCATTAATAAATTACTTTCATTTTTACGACTCTGAAACATTCCTCTAAAATTGGACACAGCAGAACTTATTCTGGGTAGGAATGCCTTCAGCATTGGACAGGGAGGAAGGTGTGTGGAGAGGAGAGCAGTAGGAGGTGGTGAAACCAGCCGGGCACTTGGAACCCAAGGACTACGGGTCAAAGGCCCTGTCCCCCACATATTGGCCATTTGCCAAGAACAAGTTACTTCATCTTTGATTCCAGGAACCTCGTCTTGAAATAGTTAAAACAGCAGCTCACTGAATGAAAAAGGAAAGGCCTGGTACATAAAGTAACAGCACCAAAAATGTTTTTGTGGGGTGTTTTTTTTGTGGGTTTTTTTTTCTTTTCAAATTTTAACTGAATTGTTAACACAATGTATCCTTGATTGCTTACCGCACCTGGACACTGGGATGCACCTTACTGACACTGTCCAAAAGAACTTTCTTAAACGATGGCAAGGTTCTCTGCAGTTCATTAGGGTAGACACAAACCACAGATAGCTTCTGAGCGCTTGAACTGTGGCCAGTGTGACCAAGGAAGTGATGTTTTAATTTAATCTTCATTTTAATGTATTTATATTTAAATTTAAATGACCACATGGGGCTAGTGGCCGATGTATTAGACACAGCAGCTCAGTACAAAAGGAGCAACCCCAAATCAAGGGTTCATTAATGTGGCAATAGCATTAATCAGTAGCACCTTGCCTTTCTGGGCAACTATGGGGTGGACTCTCAACTTCAAGCCAGCCGGAAAACCTATTCACAACCTTTCTCATTATTCAGTCAGGTGCAATGCAGCTTGAAGGACAACCTGAGGCATAGTAGAGCTGCAGAGGCAGGATTGGGACCAGAGGCAAGCACCAAACAATTACCCTACTTACAAATTACATGTATACCCTCATTATACCCTCATTAAATAGGAATGTGTCCAAGTAACTAAGGTTGTTCTGTTTTGTTGTTGCTGTTGTTTTGTTTTGTTTTTTTACAAATTGCAAAGATTAGAAATAGCCCAAACACCATTAGATCTATAAAATGGATTGGTACATAGCCATTAAAAATAATACTGAAGATAATGTTTATTATCTACAAAGTATTCCACACATCAATGAGGGAAAAGAGCAGCAAAATGGTTCATACAGAATGATTCCATTTTGTTTAAAAAACTACATATATTTATACAGATAAACCAGAAGGATTTACCCAAACAATGATTAACACTGAGTGGTTAGATTGTAGGTGACTAGGATTATAGATGACAGCTCTATCTTTTTTTTTTCTGTTGAAATTTTCCCTGTTGAAATTTTATTTCCAAAGTCTTCCATATAGGACACTGACCCTATGGTTTATTTATTTTATTTACTTATTTTTCAGTGTCATGTCAATTTTTAAATATGAAGGATAGTAGCAGATTAAATGTATAGGCAACCAAGGCCAGGCTTATGGGCAGGCAAGATCTGTATTTTGCCATTTGTTTATAATGGATTTCATCACACAGAATTAAAAAAATACACAGTCTAATTCACTAGTTGCTTTCTTTACGAATTCTGGTTTTGATACATAGTTAGAAAAGCTTTCCCCATTTGGAGATAAAGGGGAGCAGAATTTGTGAGCCCAAAATATGCCTTTAGCATAAGGATTATTTTGAGCTGATTATTTTTATTAAAGTGCAGACACAGAGAAGCTCTAAAAACCCAGTAGAAGTTACCCTTTTATTTATTTGTTTAAGATGTTCTCTTTTCTTTCTTTTAATATATTTTTATTGATTTCAGAGAGGAGGGGAGAGGGAGAGAGAGATAGAAACAACAATGATGAGAGAGAATCATTAATTGGCTGCCTCCTGCATGCCCTCCTTTGGGGATTGAGCCTACAACCTGGGCATGTGCCCTGATTGGGAATTGAACCAGT